ATATATAAAGCCCGGGACATCTGAAGTTGTTGATGGAGTGCAGGAATTGTCCTCTGACCAGCAACACCTGATAAGAGAGAAGTCCATGGTTGAATCTGTAAATGACATTGAGCTGCTTCTGTGTGCTAAGCCAATATGGCAATGACAAAGGCTTATATCCCTGCCTAATATCAGAAAATAATGAAAAGACAGCAGTTATTGACATAGGGAGAAAGGTATTATGCCTCTGTTAGGTGTCACTCTTTCCTAATGTTTTTCATACATTATTTCTTTTAGGTCTCACATCTGTTTTATGGTATTTTATCCTCACTTTCTTTTTTTTTATGCAGATGGTGAGTCTTGAACTCTGGACCTGGGCGCTGTCCCTGAGCTCTTCAGCCAAAAGTTAGTACTCTACCACTTGAGCCACAGCATCACTTCTGGTTTTCTGGTGGTTAATTGGAGATAAGAGTGTCACGGACTTTCCTGCTCAGGCTGGCTTTGAACGGCAATCCTCAGATCTCATCCTCCTGAGTAGCTAGGATTATAGGTGTGGGCCACTGGTGCCAGGCTCACTTTTTTTTTTTTTTTTTTGCCGGTTGTCGGGCTTGAACTCTGAGCCTGGGCGCTGTCCCTCAGCTCTTCAGCTCATGGCTAGCACTCTACCACTTGAGCCAGAGTGCCACTTGCGGCTTTTTCTGCTTATGTGGTGCTGAGGAATGGAACCCAGGGCCTCATGGGTGCAAGGCAAACACTCTACCACTGAGCCACCTTCCCAGCCCTCACTTTTTTTTTTTTTTTAATGCCAGTGATGGAACTTGGACTTAGGGCTTCCAGTTCTTACTCAGCTTTTTGTTTTTTTTTTTTCTGAAAGCTAATGTTGGGGCTGGGAAATTGGCTTAGTGTTAGAATGCTTGCCTAGCATGCATGAAGCCTGGATTCAATTCCTCAGTACCACATAAACAAAAAGCCAGAAGTGGTGTTGTGGCTCAAGTACTAGAGTGCTAGCCTTGAGTCAAAGAAGTTCAGGGACAATGAGTTCAAGCCCCAGGACTGGCACAAAAAAAAGCTGATGCCGTAGCATTTGACCCATACCACCACTTCTGGCCTTTTGGTGGTTAATTGCAATAAGGGTTTCAATGTTTGTACTGTGTTTTAACTAGGATCCTCAAATCTCAGCCTCCTTAGTAGCTAGTTTTACAGGCATGAGCCACTGGTACCCAGCCTTATCCTCATTTTTTCATATCAAGAATCACAGTGGACATACAACTCGCTTAAGACTATGTAACAGTTGTGGGGGGGGGGGGGCGGGGGAGCAGGTCCTGGGGCTTGAATTCAAGGTATGGGAACTGTCTCAGCTTTTTCACTCAAGGCTAACATTCTACCAGTTGAGACACAGCCACACCTCTGGCTTTTTGGTAATTAATTAAAGAATCTCAGGAACTTTCCTGTTCACACTGGCTTTGAACTACAATCCTTAGTCTTAGTCTTCGAAGTAGCTAAAAATATAGGTATGAGCCACCAGTGCCTGCCCAGCTAAAAGGTTATTTTGAAAATTCATGATTTCTCCTGCCTCATACTTACGAAGTTTTTAAGGCTGTAAATGTAATTTTATTTATTTTTTGAATCTAAGTAGCTCACATTTGTTGTGGGCTTCATTTTAGATAGGCAAAGATTAAGCTTTGTAACTACTCCTATGAGGTAGATACTGCTATTATCCCCTTCTAAGAATAAGGAAACTGACTTTCCATATAAGTAAAATTGTCCAAGAAGAAATAGCAGAGCCCTTGTCTTTACATACTACACTCCCAGTTTTCTCCTTGAGGAGCATGTTGAAACAACCATTCCATTCCTATCTCAATAATATATCAAGACAACATGCAATATACACAGTATTTCAGTTTTTTTCTAAATCCTTCATCTTTTAATTTAAGTCTCTGGAGGCTTAACATTTCATTTTGTTAATACTGTTTCTGAGGGAAACAAAGAAGGAGGATCCCAATTTGAGTCTAGCCTGGGCCAAAATCAGTGAGAACCTTTTGCAAAAACAAGCCAGGTATAGTAGCAACGTAGCTGTAGTTCCAGCTATATATAGTTCGGGACGCTAGGATCATGGTTCAAGATCAGCCTGGGTAAAAACACAAGACCTCATCTGAAAAATGAGCTAAAAGCCAACAGACAAGGGGTATGGCTCAAGTAGCAGAGCACTTGCTTGGCAAGAATAAAGGCATGTGTATATGTATGTTCAACCTCTAGTACGAAGCTGTAAATAGAGAAGACCAGTACCGAAAACAAACCAGATAGTCTACACTGTGTTCAAGCTCAAGAACCAAGCTGTTGCTTTTAGAATTTCCCTTTAGGTTCAAGAAAAGTTTGAGGAAGAAACCTCTTCTTTCACTTGCTGCTAGGAACAGAAGAGAAGACAGTTACATGCCATGGAGAGAATCCTTTATTCTCTCCTGGCCTCCTCCTTTCAGGTTTCTGCCACAAGATGAAATAAATTAGAGAAAAATCAAGGTCAGAAAGCTCTTGCACCAGGCCTCTCGAAGGCAGCCATGTTGATAGCCCCATACCACCATGGAGGAAGTGGCCAATGGACCTAGTCTCAGAACAGAGGGTACCATTTTGGGAGACTCAAGCAGAAGAATGGAAAAAATGGAAAGACTTCAACTTATCCCAAAGACCAGAAATAAGTCTAAAGAAATTCTTTATAGTTGGGAATGATGGTTCAGACCTGTAATCCCAGCACTTTGGAGGCTGAGGCAGAAGGATCACTAGTTCTAGGCCAGCCAGGGCTACATGACAAGATCTTATCTAAAAAAAAGAAGAAGAAGAAGAAGAAAAGGAAGAGGAAAGAAAGGAAGGAAGGAAGGGAAAGGAAAAGAAGGAGGGAGGTAAGAAAAGGGAAGAGGAAAGGAGGGGGAAAAGTTGAGGGAAGAAGGGAAGGAAAAACTGCTTAAATAGTTGAATCACACTTTTTTTTTTTTTTTTTCCAGTCTTGGGGCTTGAACTCAAGGCCTGGGCTCTGTCCCTGAGCTCTTTTGCTCAAGGCTAGAGCTCGATCACTTTGAGCCACAGTTCCACTTCCAGTTTTCTGGTGGTTAATTGTAGATAAAAGTCTCATAGACTTTCCCTCCTGGGCTGGCTTTGAACCATGATCCTCAGACCTCAGCCTCCTGAGTGGCTAGGATTACAAGTGTGAGCCACCCTTACTAAGCTGAATCAGACTATTTTTAAACCTACGGTACTAAAATTAATTTTTCTCTCTTGCTACTCCGCAGATGAGGCATCACAGGGACAATAAAAGACAGCATAGTAATTTCGAGAAACAAAGAAACTGCATGTTCTTTACCCGTCTGAGTGAAATGAGTGATTCTGCAAGCCAAGTTTCCACAGGAAGGCTGCACAGATGTGAGTTTCAGCCACCTGAGGCTGCCACATCTCTTACCCTCCCTCTCTAGAACAGCAGAGGGTGGAATCCTGAGGCTTTTATTTTTTTTTAACGGCCTGATCCTCCACCCACTGAGGTCCACACGCTTATTTTTAGACAATATAAAAACATGTTCAGCCGGGTGCCAGTGGCTCATTGCCTGTAATCCTAGCTACTCAAGAGGCTGAGATCTGAGCCAGCCCAGGTAGAAAGTCCGTGAAACTCTTTATCTCATTAAACCACTAGAAAACTGTAAGTGGCACTGTGGCTCAAGTGGTAGAGCACTCGCCTTGAGCTGAAAAGCTGAGGGACAACGCTAAGGCCCAGAGTTTAAGCCCCACAGCGGACCAAAAAAAAGAAAAAGAAAAAAAGAACATGTTCATCAACCCCAACCACAGTTGTGCTGTTTTTGTTTTGCTTGGTTTGGTTTTTGTCGGTCATGGGGCCTGAACTCGGCCTGAGCACTGTCCCTCAGCTCTTCAGCTCAAGGCTAGAGCCCTACCACTTGAGCCACAGCACCACTTCCAGCTTTTTCTGCTTATGTGGTGCTGAGGAGTTGAACCCAGGGTCTCATGCATGCAAGGCAAGCACTCCACCACTGAGCCACCTTCCCAGCCCCAAAGAAATGTACTTTTTTTTTTTTTTTGGTCAGTCATGGGGCCTAAACTCTGGGCCTGGGCAGTGTCCTTCAACTTTTCAGCTCAAGGCTAGTGCTCTACCACTTGAGCCACAGCACCACTTCTGGCTTTTCCTGCTTATGTGCTGCTGAGGGATTGAACCCAGGGCCTCAGGCATGCAAGGCAAGCGCTCTACCACTGAGCCACTCTCCCAGCCCAGTTGTGCTCAGTTTTATAAACCGCCTGCCCCTCCTGCATGGAAGGTCGTATGATAGTGAACCCCCCACTTCCAAGGGATGGAGTTTCAGCCTCTCTAGTGCCTATGGGTGTCCAGGAAAGTGACTACACTAGAGGGTTCCCCGTGAGAAAGGAAACTCTCACCCACAGACAGCCCTTACTCCCAACACGAGAGCAAGGTACTGAAGACTCAGGAAGGAAAGAGAAGAAGAAAGTTGGAGTGAGGAGTTACAGCAGGTAGACTTACATTGCAGGTTAGCATGTCTGTGTTCAGGGTTGCAAAAGGTTGCTATTCCCCTAGAAATAGAATATGAGAAAAGCCTGCTTTTCAAGTATAAAACCACCTCTTTCTGTCATTGGAGAGTCTCCTTGAGGCCAGGTAGCAACAAGGTACCATTTAGAGGTACAGAAGCAGAAAGATGGAAGAATCTGGACAAACAAAAAACCTTCATCTTATTCCAAAGGCACAAAAGTAGATCTAAAAAAATTAAGTCCTGGCATGGACACACCTATTATCCCAGCATCTGGGAAGTTGTTGCTAAGGCAAAAGGATCATGAGTTCCAGGAGGAAGAGGAGGAGGAAGAGGAAGAGGAGGAGGAGTAGGAAGAAGAGGAGGAGTACGGAGAGGAGGAGGAGGAAGAGGAGGAGGGGGAGCTTGACACATAATAAATTGATACATTTAACTATAATTATTCTTTTTATAATAAGGGTAAGAATAACATATTTTGAAGGTCACTTTAGGTTAAAACACTCCAAAATTTATTGACAAGTGAGTAAGGGTAAGCTTGGGCTGAATTCTCAACAAACAAGTCATAGCGTATCTTCCCTCCATCGTACCTCATCTTTTGCCAGGATCCATGCTCCACACCCTGCAAAGAAATTCATTCATTTAAATAAGCAAATCCCCAGCCAACCAGAGTTTAGAAACAACCATTCATCATTTAGACCCTTCCTATCTATCCTTAGTATGATCTGATAAGCACTGACAAAGACAGTACCCAATGGCTGTCATGTTCCTCCTAAGAAGATGAGTTCAGGATCAAGTCCTTCATCATTTAGAACAGGCACATTAGCAAGATAACAGGAAAATAAATTGACTCTGGAGTCAGGAAGCTCTGAATTTTGAATCTTGACTTCACACCATCCTGACTATATGAGACTAAAAGCATTATCTTTTTAAAACGAAGATAATAACACCTGCATAATAGGGTCTTATTTTGGAGGATTCAATGCAATTATTTATGTGAAGTACAATTGCTTAAGGGAGTTGAGTTGGTGCTCAGTAAATGTCAAGTCCCTCTTCCTCTTTTCCACTTTCCTGCTGAGATACTGAGTTAGACTAGACCAGGGGAAAGGAGGGAGGGACACTCATTAATGGCATGTCAGTTCATTTTCCTCATACTATTTTAAGAAAAGAGATCATGAAAAAGAAGGGAGGCAAGAAGCTACCTACTCATCCAAACTTTTCTACCTACTGAACACTGCCCTCTTTTCTTACTTAAATAATGATCCAAGTTGGGCTCTGGTAGCCCACACCTATAATACTAGTTACTCAGGAGGCTGAGATCTAAGGATCATGGTTCAAAGTTAACCCAGGCAGAAAAATCCTCAGGACTCCTAAATCCATTTAACCACTAAAAACTGAAAGTGGAGCTATGGCTCAAGTGATAGAGCTCAAGCTTTGAGCAAAAAATGCTAAGCAAGAGTACAAGTCGCCTGTAATCCTAGCTACTCAGGAGGCTGAGATCTGAGGACTGTGGTTCAAAGCCAGCCCAGGCAGGAAAGTCCATGAGACTCTTATCTCCAATAAACCACTAGAAAACCAGAAGTGGCGCTGTGGCTTAAGCAGTAGGGCACTCGCTTTGAGCTAAAGAGCTGAGGGACAGCGCCCAGACCCAGAGTTCAAGCCCCACGACTGACAACAACAACAGCAGCAGCAACAACAACAACAAAAAGAGTACAAGTCCCTGAGTTCAAGCTCTCTAACACACACACACACAATCCAAGTCTAGGTAGTTCCGAATTATTTATCTACTATGTAAACTTAGGAATTATTGTACCGTTATCTCTATGAAAGATAGAAAAAAATAAAGACACAAAAAAATCTACCCAACACAGTCCTCTTCCAAAGTGGAGAATGTGGCCACACTGGGCAGAACATATCAAGTCTGGGTGGTGTCCAGTTTAGTCAAGGCATTCTGATGTCTCTTTTACAAGGGAGCCTGGACTGTAAGCTCTGTCAAGACCCTATTAGGGTTATGAGGACAAAACTGTCTCCTGTCCAATCATCTTTCATTATGCTACCTCAGTCACAGAGCATTCTACTTGCCTCCTACATTTCTATTAAAGCATCCAACCTTCAAACTCACTGAGATTTTGTCCTACTTCCTCACTGACTTTGTGTTCTTTATCAGCAGAGATCCCCAGATGAAACAGGGCCTGAGGACGTGGGGCCCCTGGGAAGGGAGTCTGAGCTGCTGACACACACAAGTGCTGACACTGGAAAGTACCTTACGGAACCAAAAAGCCACTTCCTAGAGATAACAGCAGTGATCAATATTTGATCACTGATTTGGGCTAGATCCTTGAAGCCAGCATCTCACCTCTGCCCTATGCCTCAGTTTCCCAGTATATGGGAAGAATAATGATAACAAAAAGAAATTGCCACTTACTGAACAACCTGTCATCACGATAAGTTTGAATGATTTGACCGACTTTGCAATACTCTGGAAATTAATTACTATTTACTGTGTACTCTAAGATGAAAGGTGCCCAAATGAAGTAGAGCTTAGGCCAATTGATAGGGTGTTTTGGAGGTGTAGTTAGCATTAACAAAATGTACCATTAAGCTTGTAAATGGAACTTTCATTCTTGTCCAGGTAGAAAATGTTAGGGCACAATTTTTTTTTTCCATTTATAAATTACTTTTTCCTGTTCCTTTCCAAGTTTTAGGAATTAACTGCTGTGTTGGAATTCAAACTCCACTCTCAGTTGAAATACTCAGGATTAAGATGTAAGAACAGGATTGTTATGAAGATCTTACTGGGAATTAAACTCATGTGCTGGGTGCTGTCCTTTAGTTTTTCTATTCAAGGCTGGTATCCTACCATTTACATTATGGTCCCACTTTGGGCTTTATTTGGTGGTTAATTGGAGATGAGTCTCACAGACTTTCTGTGTAGGCTGGCTGAGAACCATGATCCTCAGATCTTCAGATCAGCCTTTTAAGTAGCTAAGATTATATATGTGAACCACCAAAGCCTGGTTTCCCTCCCCCCCATAAATAGATAGATGATAGATAGATTGATAATCTGAAGATTGTATCTCTGTGAGATCCTGTTCAACCTAAACTCTGAAAATTGTCTTTGTCTCCAGTTGCAGTGTCAAGCAATCTTCATTTCAAAATCATTTTAGAAATGTAGCTAACTTTTTGCTCTTGGTCTTTGCCTCTCTGATCAAACTTAAGAGTACCAATAGAAAAGTTTGCAACAATCATTTACAATTTGCTATCTTCATCCTCTGATGGTAAAAGATAGGAAGTGGGCTGGAGCAGCTGTGATGAGCAGCTCTGATGAGAACCAGTGAGTACTGGAAGAAGTGGGAAATTTAGGAGGGGCCTAGGTCTGCAGGCTGACTCTGCTAATGCCAACACTGGCACTGTCAGCATCTACAGACTGCTGAAGGCAGCATAGGATCTGTGTAACACTCTGTATTGAAGCTGCCCTATCTGTGAACATCAGGATGGCTGAGGAGCCAAGTCCCTGCACCCTGCCTGCTAATCCTCACTCAATGCTGTCAGTCACACTGCCTGCTTTGAAGCTGGGTACCTGTTTCTTGTCAAACTACAGTCTCTGCCTCATTCACACTTTCTCAATGTTGTTCCTCACTGCCAGATTTCCATCCAAATTCTTTTTTCCTGAGAGGTCCCTATTATACCTTGGGACTACAAGAAACTAATTCCCAAAGGTCATAGTTAGGAGATCTGAGAATAACAGTTCAAAGCTAGCCCAGGCAGGAAAATCTGCGAAACTCTTTTTTTTTCCTTTGGTCGTGGGGCTTGAACTCTGGGCCTGGGCGCTCTCCCTGAGCTCTTCAGCTAGCACTCTACCACTTGAGCCACAGCACCACTTCTGGCTTTTTTTTTTTAATGTAGTGCTGAGGAATTGAATCCAGGGCCTCATGCATGCAAGGCAAGCACTCTACCACTGAGCCACCTTCCCAGCTTCCTGTGAGACTGTTATCTTTAATAAACCACCAGAAAAATAGAAGTGGCACTGTGGCTCAAGTGGTAGAGGGCTTGCTTTGAGCTGAAGAGTTCAGGGATAACACCCAGGCCCAGAGTTCAAGCCCCACTTCCAGCAAAAAGAAAAAAAAGTCATTATCATCTCCAAGAAAAATTAAATAAAAAATAAAATAATAATACATAATACATAATTCAATAATTCATTTTTAACACGTGGTTTTGGATTTCTTTGGTCTGCTTGGTATCTTTATTTGGTACCAGTCTACCACAAAGCTGGACAGAAAAATTCATTGTCTTATAAATGTATCCTCAAAACAATTATTAAATTAAGGAAGCCTCAAGCCCTCCATTGAATCTGATGGGCAATGTGTTTTGAAGCATCCACAAGCATGTCACAAGTTCAAGTTAATAGTGATAAATTTCCATTCAACTCAAGACAACTGACCTGGTTTCTTGCTGGAGAGAAGTCAGTGGCCACCAGATTGGGATGGTTTAAAGATCTGCCTAAGTAGTCCTCATAGCTCACAGATAACAAAAGAAGGGGAAACACAAACCCAGGCTATCCCGTAAGATGTTGAGTGGGTCTAGCGGGACTGGTGGTTTTCACAAGGTTGTGTTTTGCCAATCATTTTGACAAGTTAAACACCCCCAGTTACAAGCCAGGTATTGGTGTTTATGGCTTAAACCTTTAATCCTAGCTGCTCAAGAGGCTGAGATGTCAGGATCAAGGTTTGAAGCCAGCCCAGGAGACTCTTACCTCCAATTAACCACCAAAAAGCCAGAAGTGGAGTTGTGGCTCAAGTGGTAGAGCACTATCCTTGACTGAAAAAGCTAAGCGACAGTGCATAGGTGCTGAATTCAAACCCCAGTACCAAATACACACACACACACACACACACACACACACACACAAACACACACATACACACACACACAATTCCCCAATTGTAGCCAGGTGTTGGTGGCTCACACCTAACCCTATAATCCTAGCTATTCAGGAAGCTGAGATTGAGGTTCAAAGTCAGAGTGACCAGACATTTGTTTTCAATTTTATTGTAAGGGTGATGTGAAGTGGGATTATAGTTACATAAGTAAGCTAATGAATACGTTTCTTGTCAAACATTGTTAGCCGCCCCCCTCCCCTCGTTTTCTGAGCAGACAAATTTGTTGCCCTCTTATTTTCAGGTAACTACCAGAAAACTAGAAGTGGAGCTGTGGCTCAAGTAGTAAAGTGCCAATCTTGAGCAAAAAAACAAGCAAGAGCTTGAGGCCCTAGTTCAAGCCACACGCCAGCACACACACATATATACAAAAGAAATCTCTGCTAATTTTACCCTCCAAACAGCAATGCAAACTTTGCCGATGCAGAAATAAACAAACTCAACACATATTGGGTGAAAGAAAGAAGAATCCAACGTGACCACCAAAATGACCAGATGTCCAAATACATTTACAGGCCAAAGTCTTGGCTTCAGAGCAAAGAAAACTGGGCCGCAGCAATGGCCTGTGCCTTCAGAGATCAAGGTGACAGATTGCAGGGCCACGCTTCTGCTTGCTCAGGATACAGTCGGTTTAGGCCACGCAGCTGGCGCTGCAGGTTTTAGACACAAAAGTGTTTGCTGGTGAGAGGAGATCAAAATAATCCCCATTAAGTTCCCATTATCTTAAAATTTAGAAACTCTAATGAAAGGCTTCCAGAGCAAGCAGAGCAGCAGGGGGGGACCTCTGATGGACGCTGCCCTCTGTGCGGATGTCACTGTGGTTGCTGTGGGCATGCTGAATGCTGAGGGCTTGATGGCAGTTTCCCTGGAAGCAGCCAAGGTTGATCAGACACCCAAGACTCAGAATCCATGATGCAGAAACAGAGAAGTAGCCTAGAAATGAGGCTGGCACTGAAAGAGACCATTGGCCTGAAGGATGGCTTCTTTATGATTTCTGCTAGATATTTCTTACATCTGTATTCCTTGGATCTGTCTTTGGATAGATGTAATTTTTTTTTTTTGGTCCGTCATGGGGCTTGAACTCTGGGCCTGAACGCTGTCCCTGAGCTCTTCAGCTCAAGGTTAGTGCTCTACCATTTGAGCCACAGCGCCACTTCTGGTTTTCTGAGTGGTTTATTGGAGATAAGAGTTTCTCGGACTTTCCTGGCTAGGCTGGCTTTGAATCGAGATCCTCCAATCTCAGCCTCCTGAGTAGCTAGGGTTACCAGTGTGAGCCACCAGCACCTGGCTTAGACTTAATTTTTGATGCTCAACTAAATAACTTATTTAGTTATTTTTTGTTTGCCAGTCCTGGGGCTGGAACTTGGTGCCTGGATGCTATCCTAGAGCCTCTTTGTGCCCAAGGCTAGCACTCTACCACTTGAGCCACAGCACCACTTCTAGCTTTTTCTGAATAGTGTTTATAGGAAATAAAAGCCTCAGACTTTTCTGCCCAGGCTGGCTTCAAACTGTTATCCTCAAATCTCAGCCTCCTGAACAACTAGGAGTAGAGGTTCACACCTCATACCAGCACCTGGCTGCTCCCAGATTTCTTTTTTCTTTTTTTTTTTTTTTTTTTTGCTGGTCCTAGGGCTTGAACTCAGGGCCTAGGCACTGTCCCTAAACTGCTTTTGCCCAAGGCTAGCACTCTACCACTTGAGCCACAGCGCCATTTCTGGCTTTTTCTGTTTATGTGGTGCTGAGGAATCGAACCCAGGGCCTCATGCATGCGAGGCAAGCACTCTATCACTAAGCCACATTTCCAGCCCCTGCCCCCAGATTTTTTTAAATGAGGTCCTCCAAAAGGACTCTGTCAGCTCTATGGTTCTAAAGCTAGGTTTTCATCCTCTTCCAGACAGAGGGGCTCTTCATGAGAGATAAGGGTGCTTATTCTCCTGGCAATAAGTATCTCCTCTCCCAGAGCTGATAAATGACTGCCAATGTTTTCTGTTGAAATATGACATGTCAACCATTCTGTATCACATCTTGGCACTGCACAGCCCAGTCATAGCACCTCATCTTGTGGTTTTGAGCCAAGAGTGTGCCTGGCCGCACTTAGCCCCACAGAGGGAATCTGGGCCCTCTCTGCTCTCTCTACCGCACTCCTACTGAAACACAGTGGAGATTATCCAGCTGCCAGTAGTGGTGTTGTTATTATTACCCTGATGTGTAATAAATTAAGGCAAGCCTCTGTTCTCACTTTAAGGGCTGCCAATAGTTTTATTGTAACAACTCCAAGATGTGAGTTTTCCTTTTTAGGCCGAGTAGAGGAAGCTGTGAAATTTGAAGAGAGAATAAAAGGATACCTGAGTTGAGTTTGCAAGGCAAGTATTACACTTGTCCTTCAGCTCATCAGGACAGCCAATATCTAACTTGGTATGTGTATGCATGCGTGTGTGTGTGTGTGTGTGTGTGTGTGTACTGTGTGTGTGTACTGGCTAAGGGCTTGAGCACTGTCCCTTACCTTTTTCTCCCAAAGATGATGCTCTACTACTTGAGCCACAACTCCACTTCTGGCTTTTTGGTGGATAATTAGAGGTAAATGTCACAAATTTTCCTGCCTAGCTTCAAACTGTAATCTTCAGATCTCAGCTTCTTAAGTAGCTAGAATTATAGGCATGAGCTGCCAGTGCCTGGCAGAAACATCTTACATTTTTGTGCTTCATGGCATTAGATAAGTTCAAGATCTGACCCTGCCCACAGAATTTATTTGAACTCATTTTCCTATCAATGTTTCAGTGATGTGGTTTGTGGAGCTGATCTCCTCTATCACACTAAGATTCCCTGATAAGCCTGAGCTGACTGGAAGATCACAAATTGGTTCTGGAATTCATTAAATTCAGCAAATGACCATTAGTGAGATACTTGCATAGGCTGAAATCATAATACTTTGTTTTGGTGATTACAGCTCAGAGGGCACACATAGGAGCACTGAGAAACTCTCCAAACTGCAGGAAGATCACACTCTGGTTCAGATGTCTGTCAAGAGCCTGTGCCTGGCATTCTTCCCTTCACAGCATGCATTCTGGGTGTGGGAGGCACGGGAAAGACTTAAGACCTACTTCCCCTCTGCCCTTGACCATGTTTAAAACCCAAGCAAGACCTATAATTACATCCCCTACATACCTCATACTTCATTCATTATTATTTATTTATTTGTCAAGAGCCTTCCTTGTCAATAGCAAACTGTATTTCTGTTTTAGAACACAGTATTAAAAAAAGAAAAAAAATCTCCAAAGTACTCAAATGTTAGTCACTCAAGGTTTCTTAATGGGCTGGAGATGTAGCTCATGTAGTACAGTGCCAACCTATTAATGAAATGGCAGATTCTGAGTTCAAGTCTTGCTCCTTGACCCCCTGCAAAAAAGAAAAGAAAAGAAAAAAAAACATATTTCTTAGGCTCTGGTCTTTCTTCTATCTTTTTCTGCTATTGTTATCCCAATTCTTTTCTCCAGAGTGCTAGTACTGCTCTTTATATATTATAGCAGCCCCTCAACATATTAAGCTAGTCAACACATGGTTGATAATCCATGTATAAATGTTGATTAATTAGCTTTCAAAATAGACTTCCAGTTGTTTATTGCTGTTGTTGTTGCATAGTACTGGGTTTTGTTTCTTTGTTGTTTTTGTGTTGGTACTGAGACTTGAATTCAGGGTCTTATACTCTTGCTTAGCTTTCTTGCTCAAGGCTGACACTCTACCATTTGAGGCACACTTCTACTTCTAGCTTTTTGTTGGTTATTTGGAGATAAGATTTATTAGATTTTCTGTCTGGATTGGCTTAAAACTGCATTCCTCAGACCTCAGCCTCCTAAGTAGCTAGGATTATAGACATGAGCTACATGCGCCAAACTCAGTTCTGGGGTTTGAACTTAGGGTCTTGCAGTTCCTAAACAGGCACTCTACTCCTTCAACCATACCTCCAACCCTTTTTGTTTTTAGTTACTTTTCAGATGGTCTTGTATGCTTGCCTAGGGCTGGTCTCAGACGTCCATTCTCCTTTCTGTGCTTCCTACAGAGCTAACAGATGGTAGACCACCATACCCAGCTTGCTGTTTGAGATGAGGTTTTATTTTATTTTATTTTATTTTTGCCTCAGGTGTCCTGAACTTTGATCATCCCAAAACCCATCTCCAAAACAGCTGAAATTACAGGCAGGCATCACTATACCCACCCTCCACCAGCTTATTCTACCCCTAGCTATTATTTCCCTGGTGTACTACATTATCCCTGTACTGCCCTGAAAAACAATGCATTCCTTATGAATTTACAGTTCCAAATGACAAGCTCTCTTGGTAATCCCCTTGGTAAAACCCTCCCACTGGCCTCTCCCCCATTCCTCCTTGGAAAATACCACAAATATTGGTTGCTAACCTTGATGCAGAAAACAATTCTCTGACTTCAGTTATTTTCACGGGTTCAGTTTTTCCTTTATTTCCCCATAATGCACTCTACCTCTATTTAATTTGTAACAACTTAATCAGTAAAACATTGGAAAGACTGAGGTCATAATTTCTGAATCTGGTTTGAATTTGCGATATATACTCCCTTGGCTCAGAATTAATATTATAAATGTAGTGGAAGAACTACTCAAACGGGTAGTTTTTGGTAGCTAATTTAACAAGTTATCAAAAGGTAAATTAGAAACTCTTTGGGGGAGGGGCTTAACTCTACCCCACTATTGCCCCCTGTTACAAAACACACACACACACACACACACACACACACACACACACACAGCATGGAAGATAATAGGAGATGGATAAAGTCTTCCCTTGCATTCCCATTAGGTTGTATCATTGTTTGGAAGATACTGGCTCTCATCTAGAGGCAGATAAGGGCAGAGCAAGAAGTTCCAATTCAGCTCTAGCTTTTTGCTACAATCTTTTTTCTTAAGGTCTCTTTGGCTCACGGTGTTCTTTCTAATGAATCAACAGATTAGTCTGTACTGTTTTGTCTTTCATAGTTTGTCATTTAACTTAATTCTTGCTTTTAAAGATTGGGCTGGGAAGGTGGCTCAGTAGTAGAGCGCTTGCCTTGCATGCCTGAGGCCCTGGGTTCGATGCCTCAGCACCACATAAGCAAAAAGAAAAAAGCCGGAAGTGGCGCTGTGGCTCAAGTGGTAGAGCGCTAGCCTTGAGCTGAAGAGCTGAGGGACAGAGCCCAGGCCCAGAGTTCAGGCCCCATGACCGGACCCAAAAATAAATAAATAAATAAAGATACCTAGATAGATATTAGTATTCTCCACTTATATATGAGGAAGCAAATACTTAGAAATATTACGAAAGTTATGCTAAGAGAACTAGATTCTTTAGATTTCAAGCCTACCACTATAGTACTACCACTTCTTTGTGTGTGTGTGTGTGTGTGTGTGTGTGTGTGTGTGTGTGTGTGTGTGTCCATCCCTGTCTGTATTGATACTTGAACTCTGGGCCTTGCACATTTTTGTTGTTGTTGTGGGTTTTGTTTTGTTTTGTTGTTGTTTTTTTTGGCCTTGTAATCTTGCTTCGCTTTTTTGCTCAAAGCTGGATCTCTACTCCTTTAGCCATACCTCCACTTCCAGATTTTTGCTGGGTAATTGGAGAAAAAAATTCATGGACTTTACTGCACAGAGTTTGCTTCAAATCTTGATCCTCAGATCAGGCTTCAGCTAGTAGCTAACTATATAATTTTTTCCTATCTGGCATTTAACTTTGTGGTAATAACACTTTATATACAAGAATCAGAATTATCTATGGTTTTTCTTATATAATATATAGTGCACAGAAATCCTAGAATACCAAATATTATTGTAACAGAAACTCTTTCAAGAGCTGTCACTGGCTCCTGACTTTTACTCAATAAACATTCAAGGATATTTTATAAACATTTACACAAAGTTCTCATTGGAAACCTGAAGCTGTGGACATTTTCAAACATAGATTCAAAGATGGGTACATGTGGCTCATGCCTATAATCCTAGCTCTTCCAGGGGCTGAGACCTGAAAATTACAGTTAGAAGCCAACCCAGGTAGACAAATCCACAAGACTTTTATGTCCATCCAATTAGACAACAAAGCTCAAGAAGTGGATCTGTAGCACAAATAGTAGAGCATCAGCCTTGAGTGAAAAGCTAAAGGATGGTGTTCAAGCCCCAGTACTGTCTCTGTCTCTCTCTGTCGCTCAGTCTCTCTGTGTCTATCTCTGTGTCTGTCTCTGTGTCTGTCTATCTGTCTCTGTCTCTGTCTCTCTCTGTCTCTCTCTCTCTTTCTCCCTCATACACACACAGTAGGTCCAGTTGTTACACATCACATGAAGAAGGTTAGAATAGTAAAATGTTAGTTGTTGTTCCTTTTGGCCAAATATAGTGAATCTAAAAGTCACACTACTTCAGTTTATTGCAAAGCATCATCCTAAGCATCATGGATATGAAAGAAAAAAAATAAAACTCTACTTAGATCTTTAAAAAACAGAGTATTTAGAATCATACCAGGTTTTAAAGAGTAATTTGGTTAGTGACTAGCCATTTGTATTTTCTATTAGAAAAGACTTTTTTTGGTACTTACTATGTATCAGTTATCATTCTACTTTTTTTCCCTTGTTAATACTGAAATATGAACTCAGAGCTTCAGGTGACTATCAGCTCTACCACTCCAACTTATTTGTATAGGCTGGCTTCAAACTGGTATCTGTATGTAGGATTATGACTATTATTTAATTTAACAATAAGGTAGGCTAGGGGCTGATGGCTCAGGCCTGTTATCCTAGCTCCTTAGGAAGATGAGATCTGAGGATGGAGTTTTGAAGCCAGCCTGAGTAGACAGATCTGCAAGACTATTATCTTTAATGAAGTAGTAATATGCCAGAAGTGGAGGTGTGGCTCAAGTGGTAGAGCACGTTTGGAGCAGAAAAATCCAACCAAGAGTACAAAGTCCTGAGTTATATAAAGAAAAAAAAAAACACAAAGAAAAAAACAAGGTGAGCCAGGTGCTTGTGGCTTATGCCTGTTAGCTGACCTACTCAAGAGGCTAAGATCTGAGGATCACAGTTTGAAGCCAGCCCAGGCAGGAAAGTCTCTAAGACACTTATCTCCAATTAAATCACAGGAAAACTCAGTAGTGGAACAGTGGCTCAAGTGGTAGAGGGCTATCCTTGAGCAAAAGGAGCTCAGGAACAATGCCCAGGCCCTGAGTTCAAGCCTCAAGTAAAACAAAATAAAACAAAAGTAAAAGCAAAAAACAGGGTAAATATTATCTAAATTTTGTATTATAAAAGTAGCTGAATCATGTAATTTTAACTCCTTTGTACAACGTCTTTATAATAACAATACTATTACTACTAATAATAATAATGATAAAGAAAATTGAGTCCCAACAGGTTAAGCAATTTCCCTGGGGTAACAAAGCTAATAAGTATAATATTTTATTTATGTTTTTGTTTTTTACTTATTTTTGTGTGCCAGTAATGGGACTTGAATTCAGCAACTATGGCACCGTTTCTTAGCTTTGTCTCTCAAGTTTGCACCCCCTCATTTGAGCCATAGCTCCACTTCTGGCTTTTTGGTGGTTAATTGAAGATAACAGGCTCACGAACTTTTCTTCCTTAGGCTGGCAATCCTTAGATCTAGCTTCCTGAGTAACTAGGACTACAGACCTAAGCTGCTGGCACTCCAGCAAAATTGCTCTTCTAGAATTATTATCTAAATATTTAACCACCTTTAAGTTTTTCAGGTAAAATATGGGACATTCAGTTACATTTGAATTTCAGATAAATAAATCCTAAGTAAATATTACCTGAAAGGTATTTGTAGAAAAATGTATTTGTCATTTATTTGAAAATCAAATTTACCTAGGCATCCTGTATTTTTATTCACTAAATCAATTAACCCTAAATACAGTATTTTTGTTCTCTGTAAATTCAGGTGTCTATATGTTGATTTTGCTTAAGTTGCTTATGCTTGAGTTTTGCTACAGGAGAAATAATGTCAGTGCACCTCTGTAAAACCCTCCATTTATGCATTAATGGAGGCCTCCTTGTCCTGGTGATCACCTTCTCCCTGATTCAACAAGTTTATCTGCCCAATAAGGAAGACTTTGCTTACTCTTGACACTTTCTGAACCCTGTCTACCTTGGTCTCTTCCCACCTCTCCCTTTATTTTTTTGTTGGTCATGGGGCCTAAACTCTGGGCCTAGGCACTGTCCCTCAGCTCTTCAGCTCAAAACCAGCACTCTACCACTTGAGCCACAGCACTTTCTGCTTTTTCTGCTTATGTGGTGCTGAGGAATTGAACCCAGGGCCTCATGCATGCAAGACAAGCACTGTACCACTGAGCCACCTTCCCAGTCCCATTGCTCCCTTTTTGTTGGCCGGTACTGGA